CCTGGGTAGTTTTTTCTTCATTTTCCTGTTCTTTTGGTGAGTCATCACGTTGTGAAACGGTGGCAAGGCCCAAGCAGTGACCCTGCGGCTATCCAACTGTGCATTTTCAATATGTCTTTCAGGAGCACACAAGCAAGTGTCTGTGTCACAGGCCTAGTTCTCAAAGGGGTAAATTTGTATTTGAGCAATGTCTCACTCCAGACTAAGTTTCAGAAATACCTAGAGATTTGGGGGGGTGGAGACTGGAGAGGGCGGGATTTGGGGAGGGGAGAGACCTCAGCAGGGTATGATCCCATAGAGCCCATCTTCCAAAGCAGCCATTTTATCCAAAGCAGTCGGAGAGTGATTCAGCAAGAACACAGCTTTATTCTTCAACTCGAACACAACTCCAACACGGATCAACATCTGATAGCCAGAACAGCCTTTACATTGCAGCTGTCCTGCTTTTAAACATTCCCGGCTAATATAGCCACACCCACTGTACAAATACCAACCAATACGGTTGTTCACATAAGGACCAATCATGGATGTTCGCTCCCAGGGAGCTTGCTTGAAAGTGATTGGTTAGGTGCTTCCTGGGCTAGTAACAAAATTGGATGGATTTGGATCCTAGCCCAGGACGAAGCTTAACATTACAAGTCAATGAGATGTTTCACATACATCATGCATTCCATGGCAGCTTTGGAATACACTACAAGAACTCATCTTGATCATCTGGAGATCAGCGTTCCCTCTAAGCTGAGCCAGCTCACAGTTTTTCAGCCTCCAGCTCACACATTTCTGTCGGACCAGGAAGGATGGCTCCAGAGCAAACTAATTTATGCAGTAGCCAAATCGCTCGCTCACAACTTTAAGGCCAGTAGCTCACAAAGTAGAATTTTTGCTCACAGGACTCCACAGCTTAGAGGGAGCATTGCTGGAGATCAATTGTAATAGTAGGAGATCTCCAGGGGGCACCTGAAGATTGGCAATCCTGGTCAGAGCCAGTGTTCCCTCTAAGCTGTGTAGTCTTGTGAGCAAAAATTCTACTTTGTGAGCTACTGGCCTTAAAGTTGTGAGCGAGCGATTTGGCTACTGCATAAATTAGTTTGCTCTGGAGCCATCCTTCCTGAGCGAAGACAAAAATCTGTGAGCCAGAGGCTAAAAAACTGTGAGCTAGCTTACACTAACTCAGCTTAGGGGGAACACTGGTATTGGGAGAAAGGTGAATATAATAAAATAGTGCTTCGCCAGTCCACATGGAAAAGCCGATGTTGCAAAGTTGTTATGGGTTTTTTAAAATGGGCATAAACCACCTCTGGGGAAGAAAAGGCAGACAACTGGGAGAACACTGGAACGTGGGAAGCTGCAGTTGTCTGGATTCTCCACAATAAGACTGGCCGATTAGTGTAGATAGATCGAGATGGGTAGCTGTGTTAGTCTGTAACAGCAGAAAAGTGCAAGAGTTCGGTAGCACCTTAACATTATACCAAAGGGACTTAGAATAAAAAACCCCACTCCAATCCACTTACCCCACAAACTATGGTGAGAGTTTGTGCCATGCATTCTCCAAGAAGCCACTGAAACGTTTGGTCAGCCTCTTGTACCAGAAACGAAAACTGATCAAGGAACAGCTCGCTGAACTTGACTCCCCACAATAATATTTTGTTTAGAAGAAGAAGAAGAGATTGGATTTATACCCCGCCCTTCACTCCGAGTCTCAGAGCGGCTTACCAACTCCTTTCCCTTCCCCTCCCCACAACAGACACCCTGTGAGCAGAGGTCATTTCAGGGGGGGAACGCGGGGGAACGCAGTTCCCCCGTGTGAGGTGCATGGGTGGGGCACATGACGAAGCCCCGCCCCCTGCTTCCGGCTGCCCCGCTTCCAGCCCTCATTCAGCCAGGAGGAGGCAGGAGAAGAGGGAGGGTAAGTTGCTTCCTCCCTGCCTCTCCCCACCCCTGCCTGCCTGGGGCCAGGGAGGGCCTTGGTGGGGCTTCCTCGCACTCCCGCTGGCCTTGCAGGTCCACCACTGGGCCCCTGATGTCAGTGGGTGTGGCATATGCTAATGAGTTATGCTAATGAGTTCCCCTAGCACTTTTTCTACGAAATGACCCCTGCCTGTGAGCAATGTTCTCTCTAAGCTTTGACGTCTTGTGAGCAAAAATTCTACTTTGTGAGCTACGAGCATTAAAGTTGTGAGCAAGCCACTTGGCTACTGCATAAATTAGTTTGCTCTGGAGCCATCCTTCCTGAGCTAAGACAAAAATGTGTGAGCTAGAGGCTAAAAAACTGTGAGCCAGCTCACACTAACTCAGCTTAGAGGGAACACTGCCTGTGAGGTAGGTGGGGGCTGAGAGAGCTCTGACAGAAACTGCTCTTTTCAAGAATAGCTCTGACAGAACTATGGCTTGCCCAAGGTCATCCAGCAGGTGCAAGTGGAGGAGTGTGGAATTGAAGCTGGTTCTCCCAACGCACTTAACCACTACACCAAACTGGCTCTCAAAAATGTCTTTAAGGTGCCACTGGACTCTTGCTCTTTTCTACAGATTAGTGTAGAAACAGCCTCAGGGAAGAAGCCCCAACACACACACACACACAACCCCCCCCCCCAACCTACTCAGCAGAGCTTCCACACCTACTAAGGTCCTTGTTCAGAATGCTGAATGAAATCCTTAATGCACAACTCCTGCGTTCTGAATGTGAGTCATAGTTTCTTTGAAAGTTGCCGTAAAAGGTTATTGGAAATCCAAAGGATGCATTCTTTTAGTGCTCGGTCATGGTTGATGAAAAGGGTGCAGCTTAACCAGATACCAATGAGAAGGTGTACAGAATATGGAAAGTAGGCGTGCTTCCAGCTTGTTACCTAGCAATAGGTGAACAAACACATGTGCTTCTAAGAAAGTGGAGCTTACATCAGATAATAGCCATCGGAATTGAACACCATTGTGCGTAACAGGTTTGACTGAACAGATAATCTCTGGGACGTAGTTACACCTGAGACCAGACTGTATGTACATGTTAAGATTTGATATTTTTACTACATTAAAAGTATACCATGGGAGTTCTTGTGAAAAGAAGATAATGTACAACTAAGTTACGCTTCAGATCTTCTGTGTTATTTCCCTGTCACAGTTTGTTGTTTCTCAATAAGCCAAGGCAATGCGTAAGGACAAAAAAGGGGGGGGAAAGACTGAACCTAAAACTTAGAATTCAGAACCTATAAAGGTTAGTTAAGAATAGAAGAGGGCCAACTCTTAAAATCTAATTATGAAACCTAAAAAATATACATGTATTTATTAAACACAAATTAAAATAATGAATAGGGGCCCATTCATACCTCATATACAAATATTAAAAACATACAAAGGCTGATGAAATAAACCTAACGCGTTTCGGCCTTTACAGGCCTTCCTCAGAGGTCTAATACAAATAGAACATGTTGGCTGATATGTAAAAATATATACAATCATACATATACAGAATATTAAATAGAGATCAGAAAACAATTGTTCCAAAGTTTAACCACTGGGCAAAGAAGAGAAATACAAAAATACAAATAAAACCTCCAGTGCAATCACATGTCCAGTAGTACCGTACTTCTCTCTGGTCAACTTATATATTCTCCTGAGCTTGTACAGCCAAATGTTCCCACCTTCACCTTTGGCTTCAGCCATCTATAAACAATTGGAAATTGTTTCACATAGGCTTTTCCTGATTCTATGAAACGCATCACTTGCCGATTCTACCTTATTGGGCTTCTACTAAAGGCACTGGAGAAGACCAGGGTGGTGAAGGAGATGACCCTGGAAATCATGACCTGGTGGGGTCATAGACTCATAGAATCATATAGTTGGAAGGGATCTCCAGGGTCATCTAGTCCAACCCCCTGCACAATACAGGAAATTCACAAATACCTCCCACACACACACCAACAGGGATCACTGTTCCATGCCCAGAAGATGACAAAAAAACCTCCAGGATCTCCAGTCAAACTGGCCTGGAGAAAAATCGCTTCCTGACCCCAAAGTGGTGATCAGCATTTCCCTGGGCGTGTAAGAAAGGGCCACAGGAACTAAGCGCTGAGGCAACCTTTCCTGCCCTCCCTCTCATCATCTGCCCAAGTTCACAGAACCGTCAGTGCTCTAACATCTTGTCCAACCTGGAATCCTAAATTTCTTACAAGTGGCTGGGACTGTGGAATGCAGGCCCAGATGGATGAGTTAATTCAGAATGTGTATTTATTTTATTGTATTTTATATTGTGTGCCTAAAGCTGGGATGCCAACCTCATGGTGTGCCTAAAGTTGGGATGCCAACCCAGAGCTGGCAAACCCTCGTCTAATGTGTCTCGAACCAATCAAAATGAGTTGGCCATGCGCAACTCACCCTTCCACTCATTTCATAACACATGATCTGAGAAACATTCATTGTATGGATCTGCATGTACGGGTTTGTGTTGAGGATTTCACCCTTAACCAGTGTTCCCTCTAAGCTGAGTTAGTGTGAGCTAGCTCACAGTTTTCTAGCCTCCGGCTCATGCACTATGTCTTAGCTCAGGAAGGAGGGCTCCAGAGCAAACTAACTTATGCAGCAGCCAAATCGTTCGCTCACAACTTCAATGCCAGGAGCTCACGAAGTAGGATTTTTGCTCACAGGACTCTACAGCTTAAAGGGAGCATTGCCCTTAACACTTACGTAATAGACGAAATGAATGACAAGTCCATGGGATCTCCCACTTCTATAGCAAAAGTTTCTTCCAGTGCTCTTATTGAAGCACTCAGTGATTCACTGGGCAGCGATGTTGTGATGTAGCAGCTGTTGGCATTCAGGTGTTATGATCTAATCATCACACTCCCTTTTAGGTCACGCCGTTTTCTGGTGCTTCAGCCTTTCCATGGGGACGTTCCCTTAGGAGAAAAGCACGTTGCACAATATACCTTGGCAATCAAAGAAAGTAGCCGTGGGAGTGCTGAGGAATCCTATATAAACAACCAGCCTTGCGCCTTGATTTACAGGAAGGAGCGGAGAGTGCCTGTGTGTATTGCCCGATTCACCAAGGTATGTCAAATGGTAAACTTTTGTTTCTTTATTAGGATGCTTGGTTCTGTTACCGAGCTGAGGTGGCTCAAGTGGTTAAGACGCCGAACTGTAGGCTGTGGAAGATCAGTAGTTCAGCAGTTCGAGACCCAAGTGTGCCGCATGATGGAGTGAGCTCCCATCTCTAGTTCCAGCTCCTGCCAACCTGGGAGTTCGAAAGCAAGAAATTGCAAGTAGACAAATAGGGACCACTTCGGTGGGAAGGTAACAGCGTTCCGTGTGCCTTGATGTTTAGTCATGCCGGCCACATGACCACGGAAACATCTTCGGACAGCGCTGGCTCTTCGGCTTTGAAACGGAGATGAGCACCGCAACCCTAGAGTCGGATTCGACTGGCTTTCAAGCAGGGGAAAATTTACCTTTACCTTTCTGTTACCGAACTGAGTTTTGGTCCTTTTTTTTAGGGGCGGTGAAGGCAGAATGTTGTTCTAGTGCAGTGGTGGCGAACCTATGGGACGGGTGCCAGAGGTGGCACTCAGAGCCCTCTCTGTGGGCACGCGTGCCATCGCCCCAGCTAGGCCCTGACCATCATTAAAGTGTCGAATTCTCTGCCAAATAATTTTAAGTAAATGAAAGCATTTGGGATTGCTTTCCTTACTTTGTTTGGATCATCTTAAGTTAATGTATGAGTTGTTTTTTCTAAAGCAAAACCTCAGTATTCAGGTTAAATTGCCGTGTTGGCACTTTGCGATAAATGAGTGGGTTTTGGGTCGCAGTTTGGGCACTCGGTCTCATTTCAGCATGGAGATACTGTGTAGGTTGGTCCTACCATGCAGCCATGAAAGATAATGTCAGGAAGGAGGAGGAGGAGATTGGATTTATACCCCGCCCTTCACTTGCAGTCTCAGAGCGGCTTACAAACTCCTTTCCCTTCCCCTCCCCACAACTGACACCCTGGGAGGTAGGTGGGGCTGAGAGAGCTCTTTTGAGAACTGCTCTTGAGAGAGCAGCTCTGAAAGAACTTGTGACTGACCCAAGGTCACACCAGCAGCTGCATGTGGAGGGGTGGGGAATCAAACCCGGTTCTCCCAGATTAGAGTCCACGCTCCTAACCACTACACCAAACCGGCTGGAGAACAGCAACACCACTCAAATGATGGTATTTGGGGAGAGGTAAACTAGAAAAACAGAGCTGTGGTGGCTCAAGTGGTTAAGACGCTGAACTGTAGGCTGTGGAAGGTCAGTAGTTCAGCAGTTCAAGACCCAAGTGTGCTGCATGACGGAGTGAGCTCCCGTCTCTAATTCCAGCTCCTGCCAACCTAGCAGTTTGAAAGCAAGACATTGCATGTAGATAAATAGGTACCACTTCAGTGGGAAGGTAACAGCGTTCCGTGCGCCTTGGTGCTTAGTCATGCCGGCCACATGACCACGGAAACGTCTTCGGACAGCGCTGGCTCTTCGGCTTGGAAACAGAGATGAGCACCGCAACCCTACAGTCGGATTCGACTGGCTTTCGAGCAAGGGGAACCTTCACCTTTTACCTTTAAACTAGAAAACACATAATAGGACTAGAGGAGGCAATGTCGATTTTTGATAACCAGAAACCCAGCAAGAGCCCATGTTGCTTGAGAAATGCAAAGCATGTCGTATGTAAGTGTGCCGTCCTGAACAGAGCTGCGCCCTTCTAAGTCCCCTGAAGTCAGCAGGCTTAGGAGAGTGTAACTCTGCTTAGGACAGCAGTGTTAAGTCGGGTGGTGGTTAATTAGCAAAGAGTCAGAACTATTGAGAAGGTGACGGGCAAGAATAAACCTGTCAGGACAAGTGCTTGGGGACTGGCAGGGGAATCTGTGGAACCGTGGTGACAAGAAATCTTTTTCTGTGGCAACTCTCTCTCCGAGGCAGCCCAATCCACCTGCACAAGAAAAGGTTCTTGGGGACTGATTGAATCAGGTGAACCTCAGTGTCTGTTGTGTGCTCTGGGTGACTTCCAGAAGCCTATAAATCAGAGGTGTCGAACTCATTTGTTACAAGGGCCGGATCTGGCATAAACGTCATTTTGTTGGGCTGGGCCATGTGTGCCATAAAACGTAAAGCCAGGCACCAGGGATATAAGAAGAAGAAGTAGAAGAGATTGGATTTATACCCTGCCCTTCACTACCCAAAGGTGTCTCAGAGCGGCTTACAAACTCCTTTCCCTTCCCCTCCCCACAACAGACACCCTGTGAGGTTGGTGAGGCTGAGAGAGCTCTTGACAGAAACTGTTCTTTTTTCAAGAACAGCTCTTATCAGAACTATGGCTTGCCCAAGGCCATCCAGCCAGGTGCAAGTGGAGGAGTGGGGAATCAAACCCGGTTCTCCCAGATTGGAGTCCACGCGCTTAACCACTACACCAAACTGGCTTACTTGCCATTTTGTATTGTGTGCTGCATTGTTTTGTTATTTGAAGATATAAACTAATGTGTTTCACTTTGCTGAAGTCTCTTTTTGTATATTTACACTTGCGGGTATTTCGGGCACAAGTTGTTTTGCTGTTACTTGCCATTTTGCATTGTGTGCTGCATTGTTTTGTTATTTGAAGATATAAACTATGCCCCAATGTGGCTGACCCGGGCTAGCCCAATCTCATTAGGTCTTGGAAACTAAGCAGGTTGAGCCCTGGTTAGTCCTTGGATGGGAGACCTCCAAAGAAATCCAGGGTTGCAAGGCAGAGGCAGGCAAGGGCGAACCTTATAATATACAGCAACTGGTAAGCTCCGAGTTGGTGTGTCCTCACTACAAGACCCCATGGGCTCGGAGGGGAGGTGCCAAGGAAAACCCACATGGACGGACTGGAGACCTAGCAGAACAGCGCTGGGCAGACGCTCCCATGCCCCAGCAGATGACAGTTTGCAACCCCCTCCCCCATGTGCAAACCCTGATCCCTGCGGCCATCTCAGACAAGCATCCCTGGAGCTGCAGTCCGAGTGGAGAGGTATGGATGTGGCTGCAGTGTCCCCCAACTTACCAGTCCGTGAAGTGAAGGGGTTCTGCTTGACTGCTGCCAACGAGATTGTCCTGCCGTCTTGAAGCCACAAATGGAGTGGCTCCGTCCACCCACTCCCTGAACAGCCTCCTGTTCCCTCCCTTGCACCAGTTGCCCAGTTGCTCACGGGCCACAAGACAGCCCAGGAGGGGCTGGTTCCGGCCCCCGGGCCTCATGTTTGACCACCCTGCTATAAATCATCATTGCCCATAAATCGTGGTCTTACTTTGACTGACCGGGCAAACAAAGGATGGAATATCCCATATAATGTTGTTATAATATGTTATAATATAATATGGCCCAGGTCACATGGCAAAGTTGCCGCGGGAGAGGCACGGGAGTCCCGCGGATTTCCCAGGTGCAATCTCACCCAAACATCTGGGAAGCGCAGTGCTGCCGTGGCGAACCCGTGGCTC